CTTTCCCATTTTTGTAGCCCATTTGATCTAGTTCTGTTTTGCCTGTGGCTTTCCTGAAGAAACAACATATCCCCTACATAGTCCATTCTATTAGTCATTGCTGTGGCTTAAAGATTCTTCTTTCTGCTGCATCTCTGACTTCTTCTTGGCACATTACTATGTCCAGTCACCAGTGTGTCACATCCCAGATGTCACATTAAACTCTCTGGGTCTAATTTGGTAGTTATTTCTCAGTGCCTCTGTCCTAGTGGAAATTTTGACTGAATCAGATCTGAAAAATGAACCTTAACATTCTCCGTGAGTTAACAATGTGAAGTTGTTTTTTTTTAACAGGATTTTCTACTTTTGCTAGTGTTTCTTTCTCAGTGTGCAAGATGCTGAATATACAGAGAGAAGTTTTTTTTTTTAAAGCATAAAATGGCTATAAAAACTCAGATTGCATTATTATGCACCTTTTTAAATTCCACTTTTCACTTCTAGCTCATAATTTATTAGTAATTATAGTTTCCAAAAGACATGATGAACATTGATTCATCTCCACAAATAAAGGCTAGAGTGCCTCCTGTAGCCAATCTAAGTAGCATTTTTAGTTCATTGAAATGACCTAATTTACCATCACAGACTTCCTTTTAAATACTCACACTTTAGGTTCCTTTATTTTCTTTCATCTACTTCTTATATTGTAAACAAACAATTTAGAAACTTCCTCTGTCTGCTTTCTCTCTGCCATGCTGCTCCCTCAGCAGGTTTTCAGCTCAGTAGGTAGTTGCCCCCTTTATGTGCTACGTTGTGGTGCTATGGGTTATTAAAAAGAGAGAAAGTTTACTTTCCCTGGATGTCACAACACGGAAACTGGATTTATGTTGACACCCACTTTCAATAAATATCTCTGAAATCAGCAAAAAAAAAAAAAAAGCACAAACCTATCTCTTTCCAACATGCAAAGTTGAATGTCAACATAAATCCAGTTCCATTTTTTAAAAATTTTCTGTTGGATTTGTGTAAAAGAAAAAGTTTTAAGAGATGTAATCTGACATAAATCTGATTTATAGGAAAGAAAATTTTAAAAAGACCTGTTACTCAGTTATATTTTATGTATTTCTCAACTTACTTGTCTTTGAGTTATCTTTTGTCAGTCTATCACATTCATAGTTGCTATAAAGACTAACTTTGTGATTTCATTTGCATACAAACATTACTTGAAAACAAAGGTTGGAAATAAATATGATAGAGCAGATACCTACCACACTATCCCTGAACAGGAATCTGATTTAGACCCATTCTCAGAATGGAAGTATGGCCCAGAACAAAACTCCACAACACCAGCAAACATTTTTGAATCACGTCCAGAGGATGGCATTCATTTATAGGCCAGATGAAAAATATGACTTGGTATGGAATCTGTCTATCTTAAAAGGTTTTTTATAGAATTAGAGCTGGAAGGGGATTTAGAGGCCATTTAGTCCAACCTCCTTATTTTATAGATGAGGAAACTGAGGTCAAGAGAAGTTAAATGCCTAAGGGCACACAGGCAGAGTCAGAATTTGAACCCAGGTCCTGGGACTTTAAACCCATGGCTCTTTCCACTTCATCACATTGCCTCCCTGCTTCCATCATCAAGATACATCCAAGTGCTGGAGAACTCCGCTTAAGTTACTGGTATTTATTTATGGGTAGGTCACCAATGTGAATTTGTTCAGGTAACCAAAAAGAGCTTTAGTGCTAGGCTATAAAATCAAGAATTTTTACCATATGATCTCATACAACACACCCTTGTTATATTATGGAAACTTCAGTTTGAACAGGTCATGTTATAAAAGATGTAAAAAAAAAATCAGTAACTTCTAAAGCCAGCTAAGTTCTTAATGACAGGCCAAGCAGATTCAGAAGAGACAAAAGCCTGGGAGATCTCTTGGGTTTTTCTTTGAGCAAAGAGTTCCAAATCAGAACATGAACCAGCAATTACTTTGCTTCAGGCCAGATTAAGTCACAATTAATTTGATTCCATTTCACTTCTTTTTTAAATCACTTAAGTAAAGCTTAGCTTGTTGAACCAGACACTGGAACCAGTTCAATTCACTGAAGAGTATGAAATGATGTCATTTTTGTCCTTCGATTCACAAGAAATGAATTAGGTAAATGTGGGCAGGAACTGGAGAGCAAATGAGGATGCCATCAAAAGTAAGGTATTTTGATGTTATATGAAGGTTTGATAAAAATTATGATAGGGTTATTTGTCTGGGTCATTTGTATTTCTCTTTGGGAAAACAAAATAATAAAATTTATTTTGTTAAAAACAACAACAACAACGTTTCCCCCTAAGTATAGCATCTTTACTTTTAAAAATAATTTGATGTGGCTACACTTTGGAAGAACAAGGGCACAAATCTTAAATAGCAACAACAATAACTAGCATTTATATGGTGCTTTACTGTTTTCAAAGCACTTTATACATATCTCATTTGATACTCACTACAACTCTGGGAGATAGGTTCTATAATTAGCCTTATTTTACAGATGAAGAAACTGAGGCAGACCTCTGTCTTGACTTACCTAAGGCCACACAGCTAGTAAGTGTCTGAGGCTGAATTTGAACTCAGATCTTCCTGACTCCAGATGTAGTATACTACCCACTGGGCCACCTAGAAACCTATGAAAATAATAGTAATAATAATAATGGATATTTATATAGCACTTTAAAGTTTGCAAAGTGCTGTATATAAATGGTCATATATGAACTTTACAACAACCCTGTGAGATAGGTTCTCCAGTTCTTCTTCTTCTTCCCATTTTATAAATGAGAATGACAGACCCTAAGTGACTCGTCCATAGTCATTCAACTAGTGGATTGAAATCCAACCTCTGACATGAGCTTACTATGTTATACTGCCTCCTACATGTCCAACATGCCCTGTTTTTATTTTTTGTTTTTTTCAATCTTGTAATTACATGCATGGCCTACTTTCAATTATCCATAATAACTGCCAACAGGGATAACACATATGCAGTAATTGAAATTCACAGGTATCTTCTCTTTAGCCATTTAATGTCACCCTCGTTCTCCACGAAACCTTTTTGTCAGAACTGATAAGGAATAACAAAATGGAGTGGTTTGAGTTTCAACTCTTATGCCTGCCTGCCATCTGGCATGGATACTAATGAGTCATGAAATGCCTAAAATCAAGAAGTCAGAGGGGGGAGGAGCAACAGCAAAAGGGCCTGAGCCGACCACAAATTGAATAATCAGTCTCTGAATAATGAAGAGCTGACTAAGTTCACTATATAATTAAGTGCTAGCAGAACATGATCCTAAAAGTGAACTGCTAATCAAAGTCCTAGAGATCTTGACAGTTTTCCTGAAACACTTGGTTGGGAGAAGGTACAAGGTGCAGTCATCAAGTTTGGGTTAAATTGGACTTCACCAGCCATAATCACTGAGGAGGAAAGTGATGAGAGAATTTTATGAAAAGGGAGCTGCCTGTTAACTAACTTTGGTGTTTAAAAATCCTTGTGAGTCCTTGCCTCTGTAACTAGTCACTTCTCTTTAATGACAAAATAAAACAAACGAATATTTTCACCCATGAACCGTGCCATAGAAGCAAACTTAATGATTTCCAGAGAACTTGGAATGTGTTTATTACAACAATGGAAAGTTGAAAGGAAACTAAAAAATCAGCATAGTATGTCCTTGAATCCATGATGTGCCCTCTTGGTCCATTCTGATTTGATTTGACTTTAAAAAAAGATGTAGGGAAGAAAGGACTATATACAAAGAAATTACACATTAAAATTATAATGGCATCTTAACCTTTGTCTCTAATTGGAACCATAATTAGAAATTCTCATGCCTGGAGCAGTTAACTGAGAATAAAGTATATTCAGGTGGTGAAGACAGTCATTAGTGATTAGTCATATTGGAAGAGTAGACAATATTTCCCACTGAGACTCTGGTCCTAGTTGCCGTTGGGATCAGGGAGATCACAAGAGAACAGTGCCAATGGTGGTTGAGGACTTCAAAGTGAAATGCTATGGGGATAGTGGTTACCTGAGGAGGAAGTATGGCCCCCTTAGGGAATGGTTGTGCCACTGGCTATCAGCTCTCTGGGGAAATGCCCCATTTACCCCACATTAATTATGGTTGTGCCTCTAATCTCTCTATTCTCTAATCTATCCTTCACACAGCTACCAAAAATTTTCCTCAAGTACAAGTCACAACTCTGCTCAAAGACTTTAAGCGGCTCCCCATTGACTATAGGATAAGATATAACCTCCTTAATCTGGCATTTATGGTCCTTCATAATCGGGTTCCAACTTATCTTTCTGGCATTATTTCACATTTTCCATATATAATTTATTATGTATATTTAATCTTATATCTGTACATATGAAATATAATAGCTATTGCATAGATTCTACTTTTCATTTGTATCAGACTCCTAGTTGTTTCCCCAAATCAACATATTGTCTTTGCCTCCTGTACATTCACACTGTCTTTTTCTAGTTCTGGAATATCCACCTTCCTCATTTTTGCCATTCATCAGCCTTCCTTTCCTTCAAGGCTCAGCTCAGGTGGCCCCTTCTCTAGGAAACTATTCTCATTCCTATCAGCTAGATATATTCCCTCCTTCCTCAGATTTTCCTAGAGCGTATCTGAATACCTCTTTCCCTGTCTCCATGATATCCTACTTCGTTGTATATTTTTCTGTGTCCTTGTCATTCCCTCAATAAAATAGAAGCTCCTTGAGACAGGGGTTATATCATACTTATATCTTTTTTGTCTCCAAGGTTTAGCATGTGGTGCTTTGCACATTTGTACACTCTGTTCATTTATTTGGTGCATGTACAGAAAGAATTTGTAACCTGCATCATTCAGTTAGAATTTCTGAACTTCTACCTCAGCAACTCTGAGAAATGTTCTTTTCTGTTTGTATCATCGCTAGTGTCGATCAGCCATCACCAGCTATTTGAATTCTTTTTTTGTTTGTTTGTTTTCCTCCTAGGATGCTGAGAAACGGACTCCGCTTCATGTTGCAGCTTTTCTTGGAGATGCAGAAATCATTGAACTCCTAATTCTCTCAGGTAAATCCAGTGTCCCCAGAAGTCAATGGCAAACCAAATGACCACCTAGAGGGGATATTGCCATGTTGCAAATGACCACATTGGAAAAGACAACTAAAAGGGACCTAAAGAAATAACAGCATTTTATTATGTCTCTGGGACATCATTTAATCAATACTTTCCTGAACATAACAAAGGCAGTGAATGCAGTTGTTTTAATTGAAGAATGACTTATCATAATAATGACAATTGATATTGATACGGTAATTTAAGGTTTGCAAAGTGCTTTGATACATTATTGTAAATACTTTTTTTCTGGGTATTAAAAATCAATTTTTCAATTAGGCCGATACAGGGGAAAAAACTCTGACAGTAGCATCAAAGAACCTGAGACCTAGTTTCAAATCCTCCCTCTAATATTTACTACCAACTGGGTAACATGTGACAATCAACTTCCCTGGGCCTCAGCTTTATCAATTGTAAAATGAAATGGTTGGACTAGATTGCTTCTGAAGAACTTCCTAGTCATGTATTTATGGTCCTAATAACTCATTTTTCCTCATCCCACATATCTAATCAGTTGACAAGTCCTATTGATTCTGCCTTCATAGTATCTGTTTTATCCATTCCCTTCTTTCTACCTACACTACAATCAGTGTAGTTCAAACTTTTATCACCTCTTGTCTGAACTATGACAATGGTCACCTAAGTGGTTGCCCAACTTCCAGGCACTCTCTGAAGACTGCTAATTTGGGATTTGTCTGGGAACTGTGATGAATGGACTCCTTGGGGCTTTTTTAAAATTAATTTCTTTTGATTTATCAACCATCACTTCCATAAGCTTTTGAGTTTTAAATTTTTCTCCCCCTCCCTCCCCAAGAAGGCACGCAATCTGATGTAGGCTGTACATGTACATTCCTATTAAATACATACTTTTGATCCTCAAGCCCTGTGAAATGGGTACTATTATATTCTTGTTAGGTTGATGGAGGAAATGAGGCTTTTGTTGTTGTTTAGTCGTTTGGAGTCGTGTCCAATTCTTCATTACCTTTTTTGGGGTTTTCTTGGTGAAAATACTGGAGTGGTTTGCCATTTCCTTCTCGAGCTCATTTTACAGAAGAGGAAACTGAGGCAAACAGGTGAAGTGACTTGCCCAGAGTCACACATCTGATAACTATCTGAGGCTGGATTTGAACACAGATCTTCCTGACTCCAAGCTTGGTACTCTATCTACTGTACCACCTAGCTACCAAAAAAATAAGGCTTATGGGACTTAAACAACTTACCTGGTTAGTAAGACTCTTATCTAAGAAGAACCCAGGCAGGATTCAAACTTAGCTTCTTCCTGCATCTAAGGCCAGGTTTCTTTCCTCTGCGTCGTGCTACCTCTCTACAGTGTTGGGTAGTAGAAAACTCATGGGACTTGAGATCAGGCATAACATCATTCTGTGTCTCATTTCTGCCACTTAACATTAATGGTATGACCCTGGTCATGTGAGTCCCTGAGCCTCTCAGAGCTTCAATTTCCCCATCTGTAAAATAAGGATAATAAGACTTGTTTTTACCAGACTCAAAGAGTTGTTATGATAAAAATGTTTAGACCATAGGATGATATATAAATTTCTTTTCTTTTCTTTTCTTTTCTTTTTTGGCTAGCAATGGGGTTAAGTGACTTGCCCAGGGTCATACAGCTAGTAAGTGTCAAGTGTCTGAGGTCAGATTTGACCTCAGGTCCTCCTGGCTCCAGGGCCAGTGCTCTATCCACTGTGCTACCTAGTTGCCCCAATATATAAATTTCTAGACCTCAAAATGATATATAAATTGATGTTATTATTTCTCCATCAAATATTTTCTATTAATGATTTCTTCATATCTAATCAATCTCAGAGTAAAATTAGAATATCACAAAGTAGATTAGCTCAAAATTGTTTTATTTAATAGTGTGTTCATTCTGTTTTGCAAAGGGACTTCTTAAAACATAAATTCACAGATACTTGTACCTTATTTTTACATGTTAAAATTTGTTTGAAAACTGGGATTCTTCATACCTTTTACCAAATAAATTTCACAGAAAGATGATGGGCTTTCCCCCATAAGCAATTCTGAGCAATACTATAAGCAAGTACTTCTCACAGAGTTATAGCTAAGTCAATGGAAATGACTCTGGTTGTCATTTATCTTAATCTCCTCCATTTTCCATTTGGGGAGATCAAACTTCAGGACATATGGCCTTGTCTCATCTAGTGTAAATTTTTGCAATTGTTTCCTGGAGTTAAAAGGCACCTGTGGGATTCCTGAATGTGTTTTATAAAACATTTACAGGGCTATTTGAAAAGCTAACTGTTATTATACTGTAAATACCCTTTGATCTAGCAATATCACTATTAGGTCTGTTTCCCTAGGTGATCAAGGAAAAAGAAAACCTATATGTTCTAAAATATTTGTAGCATCTCTCTTTGTAGGAATGGCCATCCATTGGGGAATGGCTGAACAAGTTATGGTATATGATGAGCTGGTTAATTTTAGAAAGACAGGGAAAGACTTGAATGAAATAATGAAGAGTGAAATGAGCAGAACCTAGAGAATGCTGTATATGGTAATAGCAATATTGTTTGAAGAATAGCTGAACAACTAAGTTATTCTGAGTATTATAAATACTCACATTAATTACAAAGGACCTATGAAGGAAGATGCTATACACCTTCAGAGAAAGAACTGATAAATAGAAGTATACATAGTGTAGTTTTGGTTTTCTTGTGTGTGTGTATGTGTGTGTGTGTGTGTGTGTATTTGTGTCAAATGGTGGCCTTCTTTATTAATGATGGAGAGGATAGGAGGGAGACAGTTTGGAACTTAAAATGGAACAACAAAAAAAGAAAGGCCAAGAGTAAGGCATTGGGGAAGTAACACAGAATCGAGATTTTTTAAAAAGTTATCTTGTAGTATATAATGTCAGTAATCTGAGAGATGACTATTAATGTTTCCCTCAAATGTTAAGACATTATCTAATTCTTATGCTCTTATTGATCAGGAGATGTTCAACAGAGGTAATTATGGCCAGCCACAAACCATGCCTTTGGGCCACTGGCCAAAGCAGAATATTAGGCTTCATGGACCATAGGTTGAACCCATTATCACTTGCCTCATCATGCTTCCCTCCCTCTGACCCCAGTAGCTAAAGTATTGAAGTATTACTTCTGTTAAAGTAAGTAACTTTTCACCAGCTGAAAGAAATTTGCTTTGTTTTAGGTTTGCTCAGATTTTACCTGAAAGTTGCTTCAGTAAATGAAATTAACCTATAGGAGACTGAAAAAACAGCAAGAATCTTAAAGAAAGTACTTGGGTCTAGAATGAAGAATTCCATAGCATAACATCTCATAATCACACCAACTATTCCTGCCACAGTTTGAGTACCATGAACATCTCGGGGTTTTCATCTTTACTATATTATATAATTTTGAAACTATATGTTTGATCTCAAGTTTGTTTCCATTTAATCCAATAATTATTTATTCAAGAAAAGTCCCTGCTCTCAAAGGGTAAGGGGCTTTCTGTTTGGGATGGATATGGCATGCACATGACTAAGCACATGCAAGGTAATTTAGGAAAGGAAGGACCACTAACAGGTAGGGAGAAAAGGAAAAGTTTTGCCAAAGAAGTGGCACCTGAACTGAGCTTGGAAACAAAATTAACTAAAGGTAGAGATAAGGGTAAGGAGGGATATATTCTCGGAACGGGCAAAGTTGGCTTGTGCAACTATCCAGAGACAGGAAATGGGAAGTTCAGTGTGGGGAGTAGCTAACTGAAGGGGCCATTGGTATAAGCTTCTAGGGTTTGTTTTTCTCCATATACTGGGAAGCTGAGGGCAGAGTCAATCTGAAAATGGTGGTCTGGGTCAGTTAAGTACCTAGATCTCAGGTCCCCAAAACTACCCAAATTCATATATCTATTCCTTAGACATATTGCAAGATGATCCTTGTCCGGAGATGAAAGCCCTCACATGGAGGAAGTTCTTGGCTCCCTGTCAGAGTTGGAATGGAAGGCTCTGGGTTGGGTCGAGGCATCTGGTGGCTTTGGATCCCAGTGGTTCATAGTGTGTTTGGGGCCTCAGCTGGTTTGAGGTCAATTCTGAGTAGGGAGGTTGGAGTGCAGAGACATGATCCTTATCTGGTTATTTGTGACACATTTATAGAGAGGGGCACCTTCTCAAGAAATATGATTTCCTATCACTATCACATGGACATATACAATAACCAGTCTGTCTTTAACTATAACTGTGTAATCATGAGAGGGGCACAGCTGTTTTAGGTGTCTTCAGATCTGTGCCCTTGCCTGACTTTGGAATTGAGACGGGCTATCAATCTTGAGGTAATAGGATATCTAACCAAATTTTCAGCCCTGCTTTGGAATTTCTTTTCATACCCTTTCCATCCCTTATGATAACTACTTCACAGAACAAATACCCTTAATAAAAGGATTTGTTCTATAAAACTTGGACTCAGTCAAAAGGCTGCACCCAAGGACCTAGAAGGTCACATATGGCCTCAAGGCAGCAGGTTCCCAACCCCTGCATCCCAACCAGAAAGTAAAAGAGGCAGAGGTAGGAAAAGTTTTCTAAAACTTCTAACCACCTGTGAATTGTCATGATTCCTGTGGCTTCTTATTTTTATAGAAAATGTCCTTTTCCTAAGAGGATTTTGTTTTATGCTCCTGAGGGAATATAATGGCAAGATCACCATACTAATCATTTCGTTATCCTTCGTGCGTTTGGCAGCTGATACTCAGAGAAACCACCTAAAGAGTTTTCAGATTTAATAATGAATGAGGTATTAATTATTCCGACGTTGGACAAGTGATTTTGCACCTCCTAAGCCATTCATTATTTCATCACCATCCTCTTTTCTGCCTTAACATAAGGGGGCAGGGTAATCCAAGTTGGCAGAATTCCTGCTGATGATATCTCTTGATTTCTAAGGGAAATTTCGATGCCTCTGAGGCAAACAGTGGAAGATAAGTTACTA